TGATTTTCATCTGACCCATTGTTGTTGTTTGCAAGGGATCATATTTAATAAACAAGTCGATTTTCTTTCTCCATGGAAATCATTTGAGATATCTACTCAGGACGGTTCGTGTATTGTTATAGTTGTGTCTCCCTTGAATTCACTGATACAAGATCAAATATCTCGACTGAAATCAAGTGGCCTTCGGCCTTCGCGCGTCTGCTATTCTATAAATATTCGAAAAAAAATATTCCATGGAGAAATCACAATTGGATTGCACATTTTGGGTTTAAATGGGGATTACTAACATACGTATACGGATGACTATATTTATTAATTGCGGTAAAGTATATTGGTAGATGATATTCATAAACAATTGACTTAGCCTACTTCTGTTGGCATGGGTAAAGGAGTAGCAGATCTAGTTTCATCACTCGAGGAGGACACATTGACAAAGTCAGTTAAGTGTAAAAGCCAAACTGCGGCTTCGACTTTCAACTGCAGCAACATTTGCCGAAGATCTGGCAACGGATAGAAAAACTTCAGGGCATCGCTTGGATCGTGAATCTTTTACTAATGATTTCTGTGTTTCGGAAATTACATTCTTGAACGTCGTTCACAAGGACGGCACTCGATCGGCAGATCAAATAAGGAAAATCATCAACATGCGGCAGTCTCTCGCCATGAATCAACTCCGTGTTAATCAAAATTCTTTAATTTGTTTTGTTGAAAAGATTCTTACGATGTATCTGATCTTGTACACCATTATATAATCGACAACGAAAACTAGTTGATCAGTTGATCCAGGAGATCTTTTTGTAAAATTTCTTTGGCGTGCTTTTGCTAAGCCGATATAGTGACAGTGAAACATGAGATATTTGTAATCCTGGAGAGTAATATGATACTCTTTCGGCTGCAACACATGATTAATCAGTGTTGTTTTAACATTTCTTCAAGAAAAAATCTTTTATTATTGTCTCGTACAGTTAGAATTTTACTATTTTACAAATTCAGAAACAATTTCAATACGTACAAATCATTTCTACCACCCCTCCCTGAATAGCAATTTATTTTAGCACCCAGAATCTGGGAGCCACGTGACCAGCCGGCACCAGGGTCTTTCCGCAGCTTGGGGCGTGCGAAGGTAAGAGCCTGGGTACGAGGTTGCCCCCCTACCAGATCATGCTGGATCCATCCCTGGAGTGCATTACAGTTTCATCAACTCTGATGGCTTCTAAAACGAGAACAAGGGTCGCATAAGAGTTTGCCTCGCGTTGCGGCTAGTTCAACCTGTTTCTCTCGTGTGCGCACAGTTTTCGTGCGGATTTAACCTCTTGAGACCTTGAGGAAAATATCTACCGTGCTTGATATTTTTATTATTTTTTTTATTTTATATATTTTTTTTATTTTTCGCGAGGAAAAAATCTCAAGTCGAGAGTTTCCTCAACTTTTATTGCTCGGTAAATTGAGTCAAAACTCTCGTTCACATTTTGAGCCATCTTAAATTCGATAAGTTGACAACAGTCATCAACAGCTCTTACGTTTGACCACAGTTACCTCTGTCCTTCTTTCAACATGCAAAATGATATTTAGAGCATTATATTCAATGGTGTCCTAATAATATTCTACACAAGTCTTGCATATAGCGGCCTGTCCTTGAATTCATATTGGACGATTTCGTTGATCAATCTATTGTCGCCTGTGATGTAACTCACTTTTAACTTCAGTGATAACATACCCTGTAAAAAAACAAAGAATGTTAGAGAATGTTAGATTTGAAAAATAGTTTTTATATAATAACTACAGTGAAACACGCAATTTGATTGGTCAATAGCCGTGCAGTATCAGCTAGGCTATCCTGCACAAGGAATTAAAATGCCTTCGCGGGATTTTCGCGGGATTCTCAAAATGTCACTGTAGTTATTTTATAAAACAATTACCAAATGGTTTTCCAAGTAGGATAGCGTGATCCATGCACTTGGGATGTTGCTCGACTTTCGGAAAGCGTAAAAATACACTCGCCTGCGGCTCGAGTATTTTTACGCTTTCCGAAAGTCTCGCGACATCCCTCGTGCATGGATCACGCAATCCTGCACGGAAAACCATTCGGTGTCCCTTTATTGAAGTACGGAACAATGGGAAAGCAAATAACATAATAATCTTTATGAAATGTAGCAAGTTTATGCTGTTGCACAGAATTGAGTGTTGCGCGATACGAAAATTAAGAAGACCAGATGAGATGAATTCTAGAGATTTCGCTGAAAGTGAAAAGATAATAACGATATGTGAGGTAGACGACAGTGATTTAAAGTGCATATAGGGTTGGTATAGTGCATATACTGTTATTTTTTAGATCATTTGTGCATATATATAATTTAAATATAAATCATATACCATACCTCCCTAAAATGAGTCGCTTTTTTCTTAAGAAAATAAGAACCTATTTAAGAACCTGTTTAGCCTAATTTCGTGGTAAGCACCTTTACATAAGAACCTTCTTATATGCGGGGTTTTACTGTATAAATACCTTTAGTCGTTGAAGATCTGATATTTTTATTACTGTCTCCTCTTCAGTATATTTTTCTGGCATGACCTCATCACCTTTACTCAGCTCTTCAACATAAATGCCGTTTATCATCTGAAAAAAACCATCTTTTTGTAATACTGAATGCTGGCATATAAACTTGTGAATATATAGGTCCAGTAAGAGCCGTCCCACAGCGGTCACCCACTATTGGTTCAGAGTTTTACGTCCAGTGCAGGGGTCGAAAATGTATCCGAATCTGAATTACCAGAATTTTTTAGGATCTACATTTTTGCAGAAATTTTCACAGACATTTTTTTTATATTTGATATAGCTAATTCTGAAAATTATTGAATATGTAAATACCTGATTATCGAAATGATTAAGAGGCAATTTTTTTCTGTTTGAAGTATTTGCGATGAGAAGATTCAAAACCTAAAATCGTTTTGAGTTCCTCTCAAAATTACTTTGTTTTAGCTTTATTTTGTAGTTTACACAGTTGGCAACCTTTTTATTTTAAGATGTATCTGGCGGTTGAGAAACACAACATAATATTTAAGTATTGTCAAATATGAATACAGTTATTATTGGTGCTGTAAAATTGACGCCATATTTATACAGCAATGTAAGCAAAACTAATTGAACTTCAGACATCATTTTCTCTTTGGCGTACCATCTAAAATCTCTTCATTTTAGCATAATTTTACAGACAAAGCACTAAAGATACTTTTTAAGTTTGTTCAACTTCTTCACTGTCCAAGTTTCCAGATATGATGTCATTATGTGAATTTTTGGTACAAAAATACAAAGGAAAACAAATTACAATTCATCTAATGACAACATATCCGGAAACATTGACAATGAAAAAGTTGATCGTAATGGGATTTTTTATTATAAAGATATATTACATTTCTTCTTCAAATGACCCAAATATTACACATACCAAAAATCATATTTGTGGTTAGTCGCATTTTAACCAAAGTTTTGAACTGAGACTAAACTAACTTTGTACTGAATAGCTTGAACGATTCTAAACTGTTCTGCTCCCAAAAGAAGCCCCTAGTTTACCTTGTTTTCTGGGAGTTGAAACTGTAACGGGTTCAGGATGATGTCATCGTCGTCTTTGTCGATGAGTGCTCGAATGACCATGATATTTGAAAATTCCGCATCAAATCTCAACGTGACAATCACGTCATCTCGCTCGTAGATTGTCACTGGACTCGGTGGCAACTCTAAAAACATTGATTATGAAACAGTTATCATACATTTGGTATCCTAGATATTTCTCTCATTTTCTATCCTACTATCCTAGATATAGCCGTCTCGAACAGCTATCTTGTATAAAAACAGGGAAAAGTTTGAGATGTACAGTCTCTGAAATGGTATTTCCTTCGTTCTGAGGAAGATTTCAAATGACTTCCTCAACGATTGAAACTTATCCCAACCACCCACAACAACTGCCAAGACCGCTGTCGAAAACCAACTTGTCTGCATTTCTTTAGGCTGTTGGACTGTTTCGAATTTTTAAATTACCCGCTACGACTCGAGTCACTCGACAGAGTTCATTTTCAAGACATCTATTCACCTGACTTTTTGAAGTATTAAGTTTTGTATTTAGATTCACGTTTGGTTTTATTTCAGATAGTTCAATTCGGTCCATATCCAAAAAGCTCAATTTTTGCCGAATGAATGCAACAATTTGAGAACTAGGGAAACTGATTTAGCACCACCTATGCCGAAAAGAGAATTCGCTAAAAGAGCTGCTTCAGTTATAACAGTGCCTCGCATTGGAATAATCTTCCCCATGAGGCAAAAATTGCTGAATCTTTAAGCTCTTTCAAATCGAAATTAAAACAATTGAAAGTTGCTGGCGTGCATTAAAAAGCATTGTATTGTCCTGTTCTTTTTCCTGTAATCTAGTCTTATTTTATCTTTTTTCATATTTCTTTATTTTTTGTAAATTGTTAATTTTATATTTCACTCCCCTCATGGAAATAAGCCTCCTTACGAGTGTTGAGGCTAGCGTGGTTAAATATTAAATAAAGTTTGTGGGGTATGTATGTAATTTGCCGAATCGTCAATGAGTGTGGGGGGGGGGGGTGGTATTCCACCCCGTACATCTCCCAGACATTACTTGATTGACTTACCGTGTCCTTGTTGCCAGTGAAGGGCCTGGAGCGAGCGTTCTTCGTTGGCAATGACGTCATCACACAGGCACCAATTTTCGGCCAAGCTACTGTGGCGATAAACCATTTGAATATGACCAGTGAAACTGTCGTATATCTGCTCTTGTCGTACGCCTATGTCGAGAAAAAGTACCATAAAATTCACGGGCAATAACCACCGATCATAACTTAACCATCCAGATTTAATGTCGTGATCATACGGGTTGTGACGTCATACGGAACCTCGTGCCCAGGGCTTTTTTTTGGTTTTGCCGTAGCGCGGCCACACGCGGGAAAGACAAAATCTTGAAATTTTGTGAAATATAATTTGTGACTTGTGAGACATTTTGAACACTAAAGCGGTTCGTTTTTGGTTTGTCTTTATCAAAAGGTGTGTGGCATTGCTTTAATGGATGAATTCAAAGGAAAAGGAACGGCGAAACCTCAAGCTGTGAAGCGTCAGAAGCGAAAAGGCCGATTTATCATAGGTGAGTTGTGTGCTTCATATTTTACAGTTTACACAGTACAAATTGTTGTATTAAGGCAAAACTTGTGTAGTATAAATCGGTCTAACGACTTCAAATAGTTTCCAGGTTTGTATGCAATATGTTATTATGTTGAACTTGAACCAAATGATAAATTTTGTATAAAATAAAGTACTTAAAGTGCAAACTCGACCATGATAAACGACAATTCTTGACTTGCAATGATGTGGGCGACGGCCATGTTGGTCCCCTTTCAAAAAAGAATCTCATTAACTTCTTTTGAATTTGGCACCAACATGGCAACATGCTGCCGTGTCATCTTCTAATTCTCAAGGGATTGATTGCAAGTCAAGCATTGTGTAATACTTGTCTCACCCGTCCGGGGTGGCATGTCGGGGGCACTATCCTATCCGAATAGTTTGGGATAGGGTTAGGCCCGTTTCATACGCCGTACTTCACATGTGCCGAATACATTAAAGACAATAGATAATGAGCTGAAATACCTCATTATCTATTTCAGCTCATTATCTATTGTTTGTAATGTATTCGGCACATGTGAAGTATGGCGTATGAAACAGGCCTTAGTGGTAGGGTTTGGTTCTGAAGCTCTGTGTTCTTGCATGTCAGTAGTGATGGGCGATACCAGGGTTTTTAATTTGATACCAATACTTAGAAGATCGGTATTAGTCACCTATTTTGATACCAAAATAAACATAAAATTTATATTTTCGATACCGGAAATGATTACTCATATTGCTGGTATTGCCAATTGGTCATTCTTGATACCTTTCATCATTGGAATTTAATGTTGTAAACATGATTGAACAATGTTGCGCTGCCCACATATTGTTCACAGTTGTCAACAATGTTGTTACACCCGATTCAGGCTCAACAATATTGTTCAATATTGTTGACAAGTGTGAACAACGTGGGCAGCAAAACATTGTCCAATCCTGTTAAACAGCAGTCTCGGCATTTTTACGTGTGTACAGTGTGTTGGTCAGTGGGAAAATATGTTATACTTTATGTAATCCAAATATGGCTGTAAGTATTAAGCAACAGCAAGTCAATATTTTTTGTATCTGACTTGGTGCACTGGATCAAATTGCGTGGACTTGAAATCTAGTCCAGTCCAAATGGTCGGATTTGAAATATTACATAGTCCGTATGCAAGCTAGTGCGGTCTTAGCACAGAATAAGGCACACAGAAGGTCGACTCCAGTAACCACTGCCACACCATGATTCATCATCAAAATGCTGATGCCATGGTCCTAGCCAGTGTGCGTTTGAGAGGCATCCCCCCCCTGGATGTCCACCATTTTGTATAATATCAGAGGGGTGAATGCCTCTCAAACATGCACTGGCTAGGACCATGGCGTCAGCATTTGATGAAGAATTACGGGTTACGCCATTGGGCCAAAAAAATATGTGGGTTTCCGGTTTCTTATTACAACTAGGGATCCAAGGATAGTGTGAAGTTTCAAATTGAAAAAGACACTGCAAGAACTATATAGGGTCGCCGACAACCTAGAAAAGCTGATGACTTGCACTACGAAATAAACAGTTACCAAAGGCATTTCATCTCATTATTAATTGCTTTTAATACGCTCGGCACACAAGTAGCGTGACGTTTGAAACAAGCCTAACACATCAGAAACTTGCCTCGTGAAACTGATGCAATTTATCTATTTATTGTGATCTACACGCGACAATTCGAAATTTAAATTGTTTCACCAACAACCAAATTTTGCATATTCTAAATTTTCATTTGGATTTGCAGCTGTCGCTAAAAGCATCTCCACCAGGCTACTGCTATGCTAAATTTATCTAAAACTATAATTGAAATAGCTGTATAAGATATGTTATGAGTAATAAGCACTACGTCGTTACATCATTAAAAGGACGCATTTTATCCTCACCCGTTCCTTATTTTACCCGCATATCCGTTCCGTGGATCCGCTTCACCCGATTCCGCATTTTAACCTAATTGTGACATGTTTCACAATAACAAGTCACATTGACCTTTGACTTTTCCAGTGTCACGTCTATTTTCAGCTTTTCGCATGTGTTGAATAATGTCACTTTAGATTTCAATAGTTTCACAGTTAAGCAGTGTTAAAGCAGTTTTGATTTTGACAAGCTTTGATACAGTTCTGTGTACAGAATACTACAGATTGATTCTCGTACGATATGGTAGAGTTATCGTTGAACTGAACACGAATTTGCACCGTTGACAACGGCGTTGTGCTAGACAGTAAACAAAGACAAGGTCCGTGACGGTACACGTTGGCTACATGTTGCCTTTTTCTTCTATTGCATCAAGCTTGTTGGCGAGCCAAGCGATTGGCGATAACACATTGGCTATCTCCTCGTCTTTCTCATTTAAATAAGGAGCTCTGCCTCAACTGATTTCTTTAGTCTCGCAAGTTATTTTCTTCGTAAACGCCGTACAAACATTTACCCACTTCTGTTTAATAGTTGTTTATGCTTTATTGATCTGATACCCGCAATTTTTCGCTCTTTGTACTGAGTGTAGTCATCTATTCTGTGATGTAGCACCTTATACAGTCAATGACAATGTATAATGAATACACGGTCTAAATAATATCGATGGGCACTTACTTGAATGCCCGTAATGCATAACATAAATTTACATATTGTATTATTGCGTAGAATCTCAAAGATTTTCTCAATATTCATGTCTGAAATGTTTATATACTTGAAAACAA